CCAGTCTACCAAGCAGCTCTGAAATGAGCCATATCGATGGAATGAAAAAAACAGACCTTGAGTTCTCATTTCTCTCAAGACAGAGAAAGGATGAAGCTGGTTTTCTAAAAACGAAGGAGTGAAGTGAATGAGGAGGTACATGGCTCTACAGGTGCTGGTTTGGTATGCAGTGTGGGAACTGTCCCAACCCATCCAGAGCATCCAGCAAAGCAGCTGTAAGGCCTGCACAAGTAATGGATTAGGTACTAAGGGCCCCACTTTGGAAAATGAACGGTGGATGAAGCAATGGGATCACTCAAAATCCAGTTCATTTTGATTCATGAATATTATGGTTGATACATTGTGTCAACTTGAGGAGTTTAAACTAAGAGACTGAGCAGGGAGCCTGGATCCTTACTTTGTAAATAGCCTCAGCCTGCCCCAGAGGAAGCAACTGAGGTGATGTGAGTGCTAAGCTCACCTAGGGAGGGGGATGGGCTGCTTACAATGTAAAGGAGGAGAAGAAGCTTATTCCACCCCTTTTTGTTCTGGCTGTTTTTGCTGGCTGCTGCCTTGAAGTGTTGTCCCTGTGGCATGCCACCCTGTCTTGGAGCCATCTGATTATGGACTGAAACCTCCACAAACTGTAAGCTAAATAAATCTTGCCTTATTAATTTTGGATATTGGGTATTTTGTCTCAGCAAAGAGAGAAAAAAAGCAACCAAAATAACGAATGAGAAAAATTTGGCTCAAAAAGATCCCTCAACTCTCCTTCCACCAATGGGAAATCCAAGATGAATGAAATTAAATTAGAATTCAAAGTTATTTTGTGCACTGGATTTCCACAATGATATCATGTGGACTTTCAGAAGCAAAGCATACATAAGCCAGAATGCCTAATGTTAGTTCTAACACTGAAAAAAAAGCAAAACATCAAAATGCATGAAATTGTCCTTCCTTCAGTACTGTGGACAGTAGTCACTTAAAAAATATAAATGTATTCTGGGTTAAATGCATGTAATACATTGCCTGTCTTAAGAATCCAAATGAAATGTTTAAAACTGGCAGTCATTATTAGACTAGAGAACATCATTAATTTTTGTATTATACCAGAGTACCACCCCCGGTATATCCCTGATATTCACAATGCAAGGGAGGATATACCGAAAAGATCAAGTAAAAATTCATACAAGCAAGTATCAGGTTTTATCATTAATGCTCCAAGGAATCTCAAGGAATGTACCAAAGTGGCCTCTTCTATTTTTTCTGAAACGCTGTACTTTTGCTATGTGTCTTATGTTAGAATTTGTGGCCATAACATACGGATCTCAGAGAGAAAGAGACTCCAACTACATATTAGACATAAGTCCTAGTGAATTCAGTGGAGAAGATGAGGAAAGATTTCCTATATGCCATGTTTGTGAAATTGCTTGAATTAAATAAACACAGTGCAGGAATCCTATTATTTTATAAGACAACTGTTATGGGACAACTCAGAGAGACATGATACCTACTTAAATGTGTTGAATCTAAATTCATTATTTTGAGTTAAAAGAAATACTAATAAATTCTGTTATTATTTCCAGTACCGCATTTGAATCAATTTAAGTTACTATACTCCATCTACACTGCCTAATCATAAATTGTGGCTAACACAGTAGAGTGAGCAGGGTAGCTAAAGGCTTTTCATTTAACAAACTGGGGTCTTTAACAGGAGCTGACGTATTTCCGTACATATTTATAAGGCTTAGTGGTTATTATTAGGCCATAATTGCAGTTGTTCTAACACCTAATAAGCCATGGTTGGAAAAACAAAGGCAGGTTAATTTGTGATTTCCTCTACTCATTCAGAGGCAAATTAAGTGTCAAACAGCTAATACAGAACATATTTCATTTTATGAGATTTTAATTTAATTCTGCACCATATCGTTGATGCCTTAATATAGGGTGGTTTATCTAAAAAGAGGAGCGATTTATAAACCGCTTTCAATAGAATCTTTAATGATGGCCTATGATAGCATAATTACTGCAGCGCCTGCTATCCTTCTAAACAGGATCTGTCGGCATTTCCATCAGCACAAATCCTGGTTTCCCAAGGACTTATAATTTATTTTCTAAAGTTGGCTGCAGAAGAACAATCATGTGTACAAAATAATGTGAATACCTCCAAATTCTCTGTCCTTATAATTAAACTTATTCCCTCCACATCCGAGTAAGCTCACTTGATCTCATTTTCAATAGGACAATTGTATGACATGCATTTCAGAATTCATGCTTTAGATGAAGTCACTTTATTTTTCCTGGTTACTGGATTACCCTACAGCAAAGATGAGCTTGGGAGATTTCAGTAAGCTAAGTCATATTTGCCAACACACAGGTATCTACATTATCGCCTCTCTGAAGGTGTAAAAGCAACCACTAAGACCCGTCACTAGAGTAAGCTAGGAGAGAAACTTGGGGTATCTTCCAGTGCCAGATGCTTCACTTGCTAACCTTCAGCATCTGGTAAGAGCTCTGTTCTTTTCCAAGTACTTCCATGAACTTTATTTCATCAAACTCTTCCTGTAATTTCAAGAACTGGCTCAGGCAGAGGAGTTTCACTTCCATGTTGCGAAACCAACACATCAAGGAGTTTCCACAGCTCATAGCACAAGTGTATGACAAAGTGGAGAGTGTGTGATTGACACTCTCTGATTGCTCACAGAGGACAGGACCTGTTTGGTTCTCCACCAAGGCTTTTACACAAAGCACCTGACCAAGGGCTGGCAGTCCCCACAAAATTATCAAGGACAGTGACTATTAAAAAGAAATGGCTGAAATAAAAATGCATGTAAGTGGTTGTTGGGACAGCTCCTGGGCCAGCCTGAGGAGGGGACACTTGAAGAAAGCTCTCAGGGTGACTATAAGCAGGAATTCATCATGTAGAGAAGGATAACCAATGAGGACTACGCAAAGCCATCACATGACATACAGGCAAGGAGGTGTGACTCGCCCCAACTCCTTGGAGGCCACTTCATAAGCTCAGTTCTCCACCAGGGCTCTTGGTTCCTACAAGGATGAGTCACAGGTCCAGCAGTCACCGAAGACCGGTTCACATGCATGCCCCATGTTAACCCTGGGGGACTTCCATAGTGAGGCTCACAATTACCTACAGCCCTACACTCTGAACCTCAGCAGTTACACACATGACTGTTAAATTACTATCTAGTTCATTGCTGCTGAAGTATGCCAAAAATAGGCTGGTAAAAGTAAGAAGTGGTAAAAAGCATAGGAATCCCAACAGTTTATCTAAAAATTCCGCAAGCAGATTCAGGGTCAGTGGTGAAGGACACATAGCAGTGCCCGGAATGGACAGTAAAGGCAACCAGAATACTGGCTCTTATCACATCCTACTGAGAATCAAGACATGGGGTTCTCACTGATGAGTGAAATGAATAAATGATTCTCCTATTTGAATTTAATCACAAGTCAAACTATCATGAACCCAGAAGAAATAGCTTCAACTTATTTTTACATTTGTTTTTAAAACTTTCTCTAGAATACGATTTCTGAAATGGCAAAGAACTCTAAAATTCCATAGAAAATCTGATTTACATTACTTCGTCACAGAGACTCAAGTCTGGGAGGAATTAGCCATTCTTGTCTCCACGGCCCCTCTGCCATGGGGCAGATCCTCATCTGAGGTCCATGTGGTCCCATCTGTGCCATAAAAGCTATGCATCGTGGGGTGAATTACATGTCATGTTGCAGACTGAATTTGGAATTTCCTTTCCTTTGTATAGGGATCTTAAATGGGCCCCTTGGTTTTTATGTGAGTGTATTTTTAGCAGCCTTGAGAATCCTGCAAAATACTTACTTGTGTTCCAGTGAGAAGTCAAAGAATAAGTCACAAGTTTCTGCATTCTCTCTCTATAAATACCCACTTCTCCTTTAATGCTTATGGAAGTCTGCAACACAGATTTATGACTTACCTCCAGGCAAATCTGCGTTGAAATTACAATTCAGTAATGGGAGATGGATCCAAAAAACTGTGGGTAAAATATTATATGTGTACTTGGGCATGTAGTTAGGACTGTTAATATCAATTAATTCTGTTCACAGAGGAGGACTTGTTTTAAAACAACTTCATTTTTCTTCAGCATAATATGTAATTACACAGCTGTAACTAATAGCCATGGAGATGCTATCTACCATCTAAATAACCAGCATTATTCTTCAAAGTTATTATTTGTGCTTTTCTAACTTTAATGTCTAAGAATGAAGGGTGATTATTACATATGTGTAAATGTGTACTTTAAGGCCATTAGCAAGGGACAGCTCCTCCCAGAGAATGGCTCCAATCATTACTATATGACAGTGCTTTGGACAGAATACCATTTTAGTTTGCAAATCCACTATTTCTTTTTTTTCTTTCAAACCACGGAAGATGATATTTATTTCCACAAGATTTTGTTTCCTTTCTTAATGGATGTTATCACCACCATTTTTTTTTCCTTTTTATCTTTGTGTAAACCCAGAGCTCCACCACATGTGCCATTTTGTGTGGGTAGCACTCCCATCAATCAATTGACCTTTATTGTACATACTGTGGGGCCATGAAAATTCACCATACAAAAATTCATTATGATTCGCTAGGATCCCCAGGACTGGACTTTCATGTCATGAAAAAATTTCAGCATAAAAAATTTCAAACCTACTTCCACCAAATATATATCTTAACGGGTAATATTCCGCTTAGCTTCTACTTTTAAATATTGTATTTACAGCCCACAGAATACATGTCAGCAAAATATATAGGGAATCTTTGCCAGCTACCTCGGGTGACAGGCATTCCTCAGGAAGCAGCAGGGATTTGCTTCAGTGAATCCAGGAACAGACAGGCTCGCTGTGTTTCAAAAGTAAATCTTACACTTCTATCCCATCTTCAAAGCCCAGTAGACGTGCCATTAACAAAAGGTCCTGAGACCATCAAAGCTGGTATTTTGTTCCATTTCGTTAATGGGTAAAGTTTTAATACTTACACATGCAACGGAGGAATAGGAGACGGGTCATAATGGTAACGGCCTTCATGATGTCTGGCATCAATTGGGACAGGAGGATGGAAGGCAGGAAATAGATGAGGAGGGTCTGAAACAGAAACAGAGTGCACCTTTTGTAAAACGAACACCATGAAACGCTCTGCAGCTCACAGGGCAACACTGCTGCGTGCTCTCCATCGCTGACCCTGAATGAATCTACTTTAGGAATTTGGGGACGAATTCTCGGAAGCTACAAATGAAGCTCATCAAGGTACTACAGATGGCTGACAGGGTACATGGTATAAAGCAGGGCTTCCGAGGCAATTTCAGCTGAGACTGGAAAGGGAGGAAGAGAGGCCCAGCATAGTGCCCTGCTCTGGGAGACAGGCTGCTGCCCAGTGGGAAGGGCAGGGGCCTCCAGGAAGCCAAGAGAAAAAAAAAAAGTCACATTGCCAAGAAAATTTCAGAGAATGCCATTATGCCTTTGATACCCTCGATGTTTTAAGCATGTCTTTTCTAGTTTATATACACCTATTTTAGGTTTTTCTGAATTTAAATGCATGTTCCCTTTCTATTTAGCCAGGGTTATACTTCCATAATCCCAACAAGACAGTAATTTACCCCTCTCCCTTAGGGAAAAGAGATTTAACCCAGGAACTTCACACAGAACACCCCCCTTTTTTCCTTCCTTCCTTCCTTTCTTCCTTCCTTCCTTCTTTTCCTTTCTTTCTTTCTTTCTTTCTTTCTTTCTTTCTTTCTTCCTTTCTTTCCTTCTTTCTTTCTACTCTGGGTCAAGGTCTCACTGAGTGGCTAAGTTGCCCAGGCTAGGCTTGAACTTGTAATCCTCCTGCCTCAGCTTCCTGGGATGCTAGAAATACAATGTGCGCCATTGTACCTGGTCAGGGCAATAAATTTATTCATCACAGAAAAACTAAGGGCCTGGCTGACAAAGATGAACAGATTCACTCAGACTGGAGAAGGGAGACTACAGAACAAACTCAGAGAATTCCTACCAGGGCAGCCCTAAGGTTCCCTTCAGCTCTTACTCTGGTTCTCCCTTGTGGGTCCTCTGCTTTTAAGTAGCTCTTTTTTATTCCTGGTAACTTATGCCACTGTCTCTCACAAATATGAAAATAAACTCTATTTTAAAAATAGTGGTTCGCCGCCCCAATTAGAATGTTTTGTTTTGTCCACAGCACTGGGGTTGAATCCAGAGCCTTACTTCGATTGAGTACACCCACAACCCTCTTAGTTTTCATCTTGAATAGGACCTTGCTCAGTTGCCCAGTGCAGCCTGACACTTGCGACCCTCCTTCCACTGCCTTGTCCTCCCAAACCCAGCTTGGAAAGAGTTCAAACATATTTTACTACATAGCTGGTAGTCTGTAACTATATTAAAGTTTTCCCCGTGTTTCAAGAAACCAAATCAACGAAGTTGGAAGCAGGAGGCTTGGCATCACAGCAAGATCCCACATTGCTTCCAAAGGTCTTAAGACCTCGTCTTGTGCTGGAAAGGCTCTGGGGCCAGGGAAGAAGGCACAGCATCAGACCAGGGGACCCGGAAGGTGGTCCCAATGCAGGGTGGAATGTGGACCACACCTCTGAGGTCAGTGGCTGTCCACTCTAACTGGGAGGTGTCTCTGATGACTATAACATCTGTGCGTCTTGGATTCACACAGCTGAGATTTCCTCTCCCACACATTTCTCTATTTTCCAATTTTTTAAAACCAGTGCAGATGTGTAATAAATGCTTTGTAAAACTTGTAATATAGGACTTCTCTTGTTTCAAGCTTTGTCCTTGCTATCTTACTTGGCCAAGACTACTGCTATTGGAGGAAAAAAAAAAGTGAAAATCAATGAATTTGGATGTGTGGATGTATGGTCCACCACAAAGAAGCCTGAAGCTATTATCTAGACTCTAGATCTGATGAAACACTGCTGGGGCGCACTTCTACAACTCCAGCATTCAAGGAGGATGAGGCAGGAAGGTTGCATAATGGAGCCCAGCCTTAAATGCATCGGCAAGACTTTATCTCCATATTAAAAAATATAAAAAGGGCATAACTCAATGCAGAAATGCTGGGTTCAATCCCTAGCCATCCCTTTCCCCCAAATCCAACAGGAATATTGTACTGGAAATGTCACGGACTCTTCATGTATTGTGTGCTTGTTACAAAATTGGGTGGGGAGGGACTAAGTGGTGTAGAAAGGAAGGAATCATTTTGGTATTAACCAAGTCATGGTGACCATGACAGTGCAGGAAATTCAACAGGTGAGGGACCTATTAACTACCTGATAGTTTATCACACTTCAGACATGTCATAGTGTTCATATGAAAAATCAATACCATTTTAAATTCTGCAATTAGTAAGATGTGCAAGTCAGTTCTTTTGTAGTGCAAATATTAAGTTAATTTAATAAGTTCCAAAGTTTGAGCTGACAGCTTTATCCAACAAGGTTGGGAAACGCATTCTTGCACCCAACTCAGCAATCTTGATTAAAAGCCACCCCCTGGAGAGCCCAAACATTCTACTCGATTTAACTATTTTTGATAAAACTTACTCATCCTCAAGACATCATAAAATTGAAAGTAACCTTTGACACTAGTTTGAAAGTCTGCTGAATATTCGGTGCATGTTTCCTGATTTTAAATTCTGAAACAAAGCCCCACTATTAAGAGCCAAATCGGGGTAAGGAAATATGAATACAATACACTAAGGCCACTGAATACACTGGGTGGCTCTTGTTCCTTTCCACACCTTTTACCTGTGGCTGTGGATGCAAACCCATTTGCTATCTGCAGACATCTCACTTACACATGCCATCTGCTCTTGGATACCAGAAAATAAACCTCTAAGAACTGTATGTAACTTACGCAATAATAAGTACAATCCACCTCCTCAGGGCTGCTCACTGGCTTTTTGGGGGTATATTGTGATAGGTCACTAAGAGTTAGAAGATATGGAATTTTGCTTACTTTTTAGTTCTGGATTGATTCTTCATTAAATTCTCTCCACCAGGTAGAGTGAATATTCACTGTTCACTCAACCTGGTTTTCTGATTTGTGTAGCAATGAATCATGATTAAGAAGTACAAACTCACATCACACACACACACACACACGCACACACACACACACACACACACACAAACACACATGCATGCACATAGGCACAGAGGGCTAAAATACATCAATTCATTCCACACTTAATACATGCTTCCTATATCCCAGAAACAATAGGTATTATCTTTTACATGCATATTTTTAATGAAGTGGCAGTGATACATGCACCAGGATGAAGACCAACCAATTTAATCCTATAAAATCCAAAGCGTGCACCGGAGCAATACAAAAACCTCTTCCCCCAAGAAAACTTGACAGCCCTATCCCTGACATTGAAAAGGCTTTGCCATCTTTTCATTGCCAAGAAATTATTTTTCCGGGAGTTGAATTCACTCTTTCACCCCCTCCTCCTTCCAGAATGAAAGAGACAATGACCAATCACTGCCAAAAAAGGGAAGAAGACACAAGACACCGCTCCTGGGCCATTCAGTGGCCATTTCTTGACCACTGAGTCTGTAGTATTTAGGGACTTTAAAAGTTAATTCTGACTGAAAAGTACGCAGAGCATCTCGTTACACTGTTTACACTAAGTGTGTATCATGTCCTGAGAAAATTCACAAATTCTGCATTCTGGAATTAGGTTTACACAAAGAACAGAAAATTAATGCACAGCATCTGATCTGACCCAAAGACATCTGGTTTTGGGCCATGTGTTTCACAGTTTCTATGTTTCCCTCTTGGTTAAGTTTAAAATAGCCTTTCAGGACTGACAAAATCTGCATGAACAACTGTAGCCTGTGTTGGTTATCAGCAGAAATCATCCCTCTGAATCCACGTTTTGGGAAACAGCAATGGAATGACCTTCTTCCAACTCAAAATGAGCTTGTAGCTCTAAGTCTGTAGCTTGAGGCACTAAATTTAGCTAGAATGAAAAGCAGTGTAATGTAGGCAAGAGTTCCTTGAACACACATGCTTCATGTGACATGGGTCCTAATCTGCTTCTCTAGAGATGCTCTGGGATCTTCAAATCTCAGGAAATGCCTGGCATCCTGGCTTGTCCCATCTCAGTGGATCAGCGGTGTATTCTGTCACAGACCCAAAATGTGCAAGAAAACCTATATGACAAGAAGAGGCCCCTGTCACCAGCCACCATAATTATCCTCCGCACAGTGGTTTATTATTTACGCAGGAGCAGCGGGGCTGGGGTGCATCATAATTCAAGTATATGTGTAATAAGTCACTGTACCACAGCCATCTCTGCTCCGGCCTTTGACAAAACACGCAATGATGACTTCTCCAAAGTCAGACGAAAACTGCTGAAGCAGAAGAAATGCCACGAAACCTGGCTACCTCCTATTTATCATACAATTTCCTGACTGATGGTTCCACAAACCAGCTGCTAAGTGCTGTGTACTCTACTGTCAGCAAACTAACACGCTAAATGGAAGACAGGGAGAATAATGTGCAGAACCGGTGGGATCAATTTTCCTGAGGGAATTAAAATTCCACCAGGTGGGGTGGGTCTGCGTGGCAGTGGTGAGCAGTCAACTGTACATGCTTATGGTTGCAAAGATGATTTATTACAGACTTGCAGGAGGTTTGACTATTGTACCAGAGTCCTCTTATACAAAGAGTTCATACTACCTTGCTTGGCATGGCACAGTCTTTAAACCCTGTATGCGTGTAACCAGCTTGATAAGTGTTTAAACTGAAACGCACAGCAAAATTTGTGCTGGGTAGAGTTGTCAGTATTCAATTTCACACTGGCTGTCATCATGTTTAGTGTTAAAAGTCTCATTAGGAATGAGAGGCATTGATTTTTTTTTAAGGTCTCTTCACAACAGACTGCGCTGATCATAAAATCTGTAGCCAGAAAATAACCAAAAAAGATGCTTGGAGATTTATCTGCTGTTGCATCCCTCTCCTGAGAAATAGTTTTAGTATCCTCAGGCTATGAGATCTCTTGGATGCTATCCTTGGGAAACTGTCTTTTGAGGTTTGAAATTTACATACAAAAATTGTAGATTAAAAAAGAGAGATCAAAG